TCATTAACCACACGTAGGACGTCGATTTATATTCTCCAACCCTCAGCCCAAGTGCATTTAAACGATACACGCGCTGCGCATCTCTGCTGGTTCGCCGTCAAAGTCTACAACAAATCACCACGAATCGTTCAGATTTCCCACTCGGGACCGATCGGTAGGCGGATAGACTGCCGTAATACGCATCGCCTACTAATCGTATAATTATGTAGGTACTATTATTATTATTATTATTATTATTCGAGAGTAGGTACATTAGTATACGAGCAGAGGTTTGAGCGGTAGAATCGCTGCAATTTCAAATACATACAGACAAAACTGCAGCGGCCCCGTTTAGCGCCGGCACTGCCACTTTCGAATTTTAGTTCGCCAAACCCACTGAAAGTGTTAGAATACGTAAGTACATACTTTGTTGTGTACAGTTTTGTTCGAGTAAAATAAACTTGTGTTTACAATAAACAATGTGCATTGCTGTTTGCATTTCAGACGTCATATACTATGGAAAGGTATATAGTGCGGGGAAGAGTGATTTGCACCACCTGTTAATTCGGCTTATTGATATTGTTTGGTTATCATTAATCGTCTATTATTGGCCCAGTAGAAATCGCGAGCCTATAAATACTCAGTGATATGGTTTAAAATAATAAAAATCATAAATATTATTGAGCACAGGAAGTAGCCAATAGCTTTTCTATACATAGGTACTGAATTAATAGAATAATCTAGTAGGTACGAAGAGTGGAGCCGAACTATATTTTAAAAGGGGGGCAAGTAAAAAGGTATACGGACCACCACCCCTGTTTACACAATATGTGCTACATAGCCTGCATATGTATACATTATAATAGCTTAGGAGTTAGGAACATAATTCATAAATAATTTGTTGGAGTACCCACGGACCCCCACGACCCCACCCACCGAAAAAAGGGGGGACGGTCGCCTGGGTACGAAAATCGAAAAATTGAAAGCGACGAAACAAATACAATCTTTTGATTTATTAATACCGATAAGTATTGTACATATTACACGGACCAAGCCTCCAGTTAGTGTAGACTGAATGTATTGAGAGAATTAAAAATTAAAAATTCTATGATTTAATAATTAAATCCAAAAAAATAAAAATAAACGTATTTCAATGGGCACTGATAATCACATCATAAAGTTACACAAAAACTGAAATTGTAAATCTTGTGTTCAGAGGGAGCCGAGAACGAAAAGTGAACCCATGTGGGCTATGACTATTTTGTCTACTGACAATATTGACTGTTTATAAATATTAACATTTGAAATATAAATATACACGAGCAGAACCCAATTAGTTTTGATTTAAAAATACATATTTATGCAGAAAATATTTTACAATAATATGTTCTTGAGAATTGTACATTTTTGATTTGTATCTATATCGATAAAATTAAATAATATAACTCCTTAGTTATTAGTATTTATTAAGTATTATTATTACGATAATATGCCAGTATGTCATGGTATATCTTTATATACACGATACACCTATATGTTATAATATAATTGGCTATTGCTATATCTAAATGCAAAGGTGGGCAAGTTAATGAAAATAATTAACTCAAGTTAAGTTAAGTTAAGAGGACACAAGATCGATAAGTTAAAAGTTAGCAGTTAACAAATTATAAATTTAACTCGATAAGTTAAAATTTAATATAGAAAAAAATATTAACTTAACTCAGTTTAAAAAAAGTTAATCCATTTTTTTTTATAATTAATATGTAAATCACATAAAGAGTGAATGTGTCTTTCTAGTTTCTAATTTATAAATTATAAAAAAAAATTTTATTGAACTTTTATCATAATGTACACCGTATTCCATTTTACTTTTCTATTATTTACTAATTTAAACCATACTCATCTCAAATTAATAATTTAACAAATATATTTTTTTATATCGTTTAGAAATTGAATGTCATAATACATGAAGATGAGTCATGAACATGACCTTCATATATATTATAAGTTATATAACATTAAAACATAACAATTGGCAATTTGTAATTTAAAATTATTAATTTTACTAAAAACATTTAGGTATAATTACAACTCACATAATATATAATTTACAACTCAATAAAATATATTAATATACAAAAAATTATGTTATCAAGAAAAAGAACAGAAATGTTTGTGTTTTTATATTGGATTATTTTTATTTTATACTGATATAGTAATATTTACGTATAAACGAACAATTTCAAAATGTTTTAACTTAATGGATTTTTTTAAAATCAACTGAGAAAAGCTAAGTTATTTCAATTGTAAATTAAACTATTTAAGTTCATAAGTTAATTAGAAAATAAACTAACTAGTTAAGTAAAAAAGTTAAAAAAAAATTAACTTTTTAACTGAACTTTTCAACTAGTTAAGCCCACCTTTGTCTAAATGTATTCAATCCAGTTATTTTTATTGAAAAATTCCGGTTAATGGAAAAAGAAATTAATTTAACTATAATATTTGTAATTCGCTATTCTAGTAAATGGTTGTGTAATAGGTATCAATAATAATTTTTATTTTTATTATATTTATTATTTAATTATTTACAAATTAACTTAACTTGAATTTGATTAAAAGTAACTCATTATTTATTAAGTTTATATCAATTAAAATAATTAACTACAAAAAATTGGTTGTGTTTTGACAATTTTGAAAACTACCTACTATGAACCACCGCTCACCAGATTTTTTTTTGTATACGTGTGTTACAAGTCGGTACTTGTAGAGTTTGAATATAGATTTATTAAATAAAGTAACAAACACACGTCTGGACGCAAGTGATACAAAACATGTGCTATAGCAGACTCAAATATAATAAATTACGAACAAAAAAGTGTGTTTAATTACCAATCTATACCAAAATTAACGGTATAATTTATATATAAAAATACTAAACATCAAACGTTAAATAGAAAATAAAAAATTAAAGTAGCGCTTAAAAATATAAAAACGATAAGCGGAAAAAATTGAATAACTCTTGAAAGTACAATAACGATAAACATTAAAATTGTACAACGTTTAAATATCCCAAAACGTAAAAACGATATATTTATTTTTAATTTAAGCCCTGAAAAAAGTTCATAACACTGTCAAGGTTTGGTGATAAAATTCGAAAGTGGTAGTGCGGGCGATACGGAGGTCAAAACTGTTTTGTTTATGCCATTTAAAATTATTATCGAACAAAACCTGCAGATTTAGGTTTTAATACCATTTTAATGCCATTTTATATGGCTCTATGTTAATAACAAAATATTATATACTGCAATCCAAAAAACTGTACATTTATTTTGAAAAAGTTTTAAAAATTCGATACTAGGGTGTTAAGTTTTCTATAATAACCTAAAACCATACTTCTTGTTAAAAATACTTTTTGGGAATATTTCGAATAGGTATTTCATAATTCTTCGACTAAAAATTATTTAAACACCTTTTCTATCAAGCATTTAAATACAAATACAAATATATTCAAAAAATATTTCAAATAGGTACTATCAAATATTATTTACTTACATAATTTTTAAACAACAATTTTTTCCTCGCAGAAAGTTTGAATCGCTTACCAAATATACCGACCATAAGGTTTATTGAAAATTATATAATGTCTCATTCTACTTTCTTTCAGATACCCACAGTGATTCTCGTGAAGTAATAATATAGTGGTTGTTTTGACCTACTCCACCTATCTGCCAGACGGTTAAATATGAAAAATAAACTGTAAATAAATATTTATACCTATAATAGGTACCACGTTTATTTTATTTCACTTGAAACACACAATAAGAACAATAATAATTATCCTTTATTTACTGAGAAAATAACTCAATTTGGGTAGGAAACAGTTTTATAAATAATCGTTACAACATTTACATTAATGTTTAACTATATTATATAATGTTACCTAGACGTATGATACATCTTACGTCTATATAGGTAATTCTTAAATTACAATGTGATAATAATTGAAGGTTAGTGATTAGAGATTTTATTTTAATTATTTTTAACATGGATACCTATATTTTTTGACTGGCTAGAGCTTTTTGTTTTCTAACTGAATTTGGTGAAGCTTTGTCCATCGCAATTCAACAGTAAAAAAAAAGCTGGTAAATGGATGTCGCTCTGATGTATCAGATTATCTGATTCTCACTCTACTCTATTCTACTCTACTCTACTTGATTATTATGTTTTTTTGCATTAAATCAATTTTTGTCAAAAACATTCAATATTTCCTTAAACAATAAATAGCGATAACATTTTTGAACTTAAGTGTTAGTAGTGTCTACTGGAACCAAAAACTCTGATTTTTTTTGTAGCAATTAAAGAACTTATTTTGAAAAATTTGGATATTCAAACAAAAAATAGGTAACGATCTTTTATATTTTTGATATTATGAAATAAGTACCATATTTTAAATGATTTATCATTTAATTCAGATTAATTATTGCGATCTACTCAATGATAAGTTACAATAAACAGTGCCTACTACATAGCAAAGTGATTTCTTTGGATATTTTTTACTTTAATCCCTTCAAAGTTTCTTCGGTTATTTTTTACTCTTATCCCTTCAAAGTTCAAACTAGAATCAACTGAAAGAGAAACCACTTATAAAAATGAATATAGCAGCACATTTACTAGGTACTGTAAAAGGTAATTTCAGATACAAAAATAAAAAAAGACACTTCACAGTAAATCCAAAACATTCATCGCTCATCTCAGAATCTAAAATAATTGAAAACAAGATATTTTGTTAAATTTCTTTAGTATTTATTGCTGTCACATTCACTGCCTACCACGGTACAATATTAATAAGACTAGAAATATATGATTATGGTAATAATTTGAACAGCGGAAGTATCATTTTAATAAATCTGTATATATCGTGCCGTTTTTCTAGGGGTGCCACATGACTATGAAAAACGGCCGCTCCTGCAGGTACAAGCCTTGCAGCATAAATATTTTTCATAGTAATTATAAGGGTTTTTTCACTCTATATTTTCTACATGCGTCCACCAGTGCTTCTCAAGATCGATCCCAGTAGTGAAACACAAGCCACACCTTTCACATTGGTACGGATTCTCTCCCTTGTGAACTCGCTGGTGTACCGTCAGACCACTACTTTGGGTGAACGACATCTCGCACGCATCGCAATGGTACGCTTTCTCTCCTGTGTGCTTCCGGCGGTGTACCGTCAGTGTGTAACTTTGGTTGAACGACATCTCGCACACGTCACAATGGTACGGTTTCTCCCCTGTGTGAATTCTCCGGTGAACCGCCAGAGCGCTACTTTGGGTGAACGATTTGTCGCACGCGTCACACTGGTACGGTTTCTCTCCTGTGTGAATTCTCCGGTGTGCCACCAGACTGTTACTTTGGGTGAACGATTTGTCACACGCGTCACACTGGTACGGTTTCTCCCCTGTGTGAATTCTCCGGTGTACCGTCAGTGAGTGACTATGGGTGAAAGACATCTCGCACACGTCACAATGGTACAGTTTCTCCCCTGTGTGAATTTTCCAGTGGGCCGCCAGATGGCTACTTTGGGTGAACGACTTGTCGCATGCATCACAATGGTACGGTTTCTCCCCTGTGTGAATTCTCCGGTGTGCCACCAGACTGTTACTTTGGGTGAACGATTTGTCACACGCGTCACACTGGTACGGTTTCTCCCCTGTGTGAATTCTCCGGTGTACCGTCAGTGAGTGACTTTGGTTGAACGACATCTCGCACACGTCACAATGGTACGGTTTCTCCCCTGTGTGAATTTTCCAGTGTGCCACCAGATTGTTACTTTGGGTGAACGATTTGTCGCACGCGTCACATTGGTACGGTTTCTCCCCTGTGTGAATTTTCCGGTGTGCCACCAGACTGTTACTTTGGGTGAACGATTTGTCACACGCGTCACACTGGTACGGTTTCTCCCCTGTGTGAATTCTCCGGTGTACTGTCAGTGAGTGACTATGGGTGAAGGACATCTCACACACGTCACAATGGTACGGTTTCTCCCCTGTGTGAATTCTCCGGTGTACCACCAGAGCGCTACTTTGGGTGAACGATTTGTCGCACGCGTCACAATGGTACTTTTTATTTCCTGTATGACTTCGCCGGTGCACCGTCAGATCACTACTTTGGGTGAACGACTTGTCGCATGCGTCACAATGGTACGGTTTCACCCCTGTGTGAATTCTCCGGTGTACCGTCAGTGAGTGACTATGGGTGAAAGACATCTCGCAAACGTCACAATGGTACGGTTTCTCCCCTGTGTGGGTCCGAAGGTGATATTTCATTCTGCTTTTTAATGTAAACTGCTTATTGCACACATTGCACTGGTGGTTTATTTTATTACCTTTTCCCGTTCTCTGGCCACCGAGGATTGAGCTTGTTTTATTAACTTCCATTTAGCCACCAAGTACGTCACATGTATTTTATACGATTCCGATGAATAATACAATAATGATAAAATGGCAAACACGGTAAGATTATGTTTTGATATTGATAAATCAACTATTGTTTACATTTTTAAAGACGATACTGAATTCGTGGTAACTACATAGTACCTAAACAATGTATTAATGTTTCGTTTACGCATATGATTATAATATATTATAGATAATTCACGTTTTTAAGGCCAGTATTTGTTATAATTATGTATAAACTTTAAATTATATTTTATAAATTAAAAATAAAGTAAGCTATAGGTCATAAGATTCCGAATATTTTTTTATATATATCTATCACTTTTAATTTTCAAACTAGGTCATAGGAAAACCAACTGAACATTTAACTGTTTAGATTGTATCAGAGAACAAAATTTGGTTTATAGTGATGTAATTATTGTCTTTAAGATGCATGTAAATCATGAACCGATGTTTCAATTGAAATATCAATATTTTTGTTATAAACACTAAATAGTATTGAAACGAAAATTTTTTTTATTATAGAAAATTATAAAAGTTTTTGGTGTTGCGTAACCTTTTCGTATCGTATTACTTCTTTACGCAAAAATATGGATGTGTTTCAAAGCGCAGACGGCTAGGAACGTTAATGGCTTATTGTGGAGATGACGAGATGTGTTATTTTCTAAACAATAATAATAATAATATTGTTAAGGAACGTTAGTTACATTATATTATTTTATATTCCGTGATATATTTTATTTGCGATTGATTTTTCACACCCAAATATGTCCGTATCTGGTACATTCATTGTATAAATTTATTTATATATTAAAAATGTTCGGTGCCGACTCCGGCGTCGATAAGGCATAGAAACGTCTATTAGACCCCAAGCCCCGTCCGACCACCGGCAACAAAGGCTTACCGCCGGGGTACGCTCACTGTGATCTATTATAATTAATCGTGGAATTCGTGTGACGCGATTCGTTCCAAACTCACCGTTTTTGTTATTGCTGCGGCACCCAATATATTAACGCGTAGCTTACGGAATATCAATACGAGAGTGCATCGGCACTCTGTAGTGTCATATATTATTGTGAGTGCGAGCAGGTGACCGAACGTGCGTCGGACATTCTGGTCTGTAGGTACGAGGTATCATTTGAACGAGGAGACATCGTATCACATGCATAATTAATGTGGTTCAGCCATCGACCAACATCGTGGATTGCGGGATTCGAACGGGCGGACAGGCGTTTGCAAGGTGATGGTCGTATACTCGTATGGACAGTCGAGCGGTCGAGCGGTCAGCGGCAAACGGTAACGCGGTATCATAAGAGGTTTTTATTTATCTATGCTATTATCGATATTATTTGTAACCATATTATGATCGATGATATCAATATTTTGTAATATTGCCTTTGAGTTGTAGCTAAATGTGTAGCTTTTTCAAAGTCAGAATGAAAAAGGTGCTCTGCTGTACAGTAGGTTAGAGTGGGACACTGTAAATTGGATACAATTAAATTTGAATTCAATGATATAATATCATTGTATAAGAAAAACTATTCTGAGCGGGGACGGTATGTCAGTCTAGGTATAATACTTATTATATACTTATCTATCGTATTAAAAAAAAATACCTAAAATATATACCTATAATAAATTCCAAATTAATCATATCACAATATCCATTAGGTACTTGTAATGCGTTATACGTCCACAACAAACCCTGATACTATCAACATAGTCCATACTACATAGATATATAATAGTGTACTTTAGAAGTTTCAAGTACCCACAAATAATATTACACAATCACAACAAAATAAATAAAATAGTTATTCTAGGTTTTTTTTATGTAATTTTGTCCAAAGTTGAACTTAAAAATAAACTGTGCTTATTTTAAATTTGATAAATTTTGTCAAATTCGATCTTTAAATGCTTTAAAAAAAAAAATGTGCCTATGTATATTTAATATTTTTAAACTGATATTGTAGCAACATATTAGGAGCCTTGTATTAAATTTTTACACTTTTTGGCGCAACAGATAAAACTTTATTGATATTTATAGAATAAAAAACTAAAAAAATTCTCAAAAATATTCAGTCAAAATATTTTCGAAATTGTATGGTGTATAGGAAATGCTATAAATATTCAGTGAAATTTTCATGTATCTACAGTTATTCGTTTTTGAATTACAACAAAATAAGGAATCGCTGCATGAGAAATCGAGTGAATATCCAATGTTGTAAAAATTTGAATTTCAAACGCTCATAAAAATTTAATTTGACTTTCTTATAGACATTTTTTTTGTTGATAAATTTAGATAATCTTATAATGAATCTTAAAATTACATTTTCAAATCTTAGATTTAAGTAGAACAATTTTTACGAATTCTTAACTCAAAATAATTTGCCAATTTTAATGATTTTTCCATATTTTGTCAATTTTTGAACTTTAAATGCTTATAAAAAAAACTGTGACTTAGGATTTTTAATATTTTTCAAATGCCATTATAACAATATAGTAGGAGCCTTGTATTCAATTTTCATGCTCTTTTAACCATCAAATAAAATTTCATTGATATTTTTAGAAAAAAAAATGGAAATGTGCCTAAACAGTTCAAAATAAATTAAAACATTTTGAAAATGTTATCGTGTATAGAAAATTCTAATATAAACATTCAGTCAAAATTTCATTTACTTTCGGTCATTTGTTTAAGAGTTGAACCAAAAACCAAATTTCGAAAATAGATTTTAGTGTAAAAATTCCCGGTTTTCCTTAATATTTATTTTGTTTTTCACGCCGCTTTTGAAAACTACTGTGAAATTTTCACTTTTGACCCCACAAAGTACCAACTAGATTCACTTTCCTATCAGAAAAGCTACTGTTGAAGAAAATCCAAGCACTTTTACTGTCCTAAAACGTGATGACAGACACAAAAAAAAAAAAATAAACACACATCATTGTAAAATCATTACATTCATCGTTTCACTCAGAATCTAAAAAACTTAGTTGAATAGTTTCGCCAATTAGTTCATTACATAACTTTCATATTTCAAATGACATAGTCAAATAATTGTTTTTTTGATTTTGATGTTAAAAATACATAAGCTACTATATAATAATTGTAAGTATTTACATGTAATGTATAAAATTGACAGAAGAATTTAGGACAATACGAAAATGTTCCGTCCCCAAAGACATTTTTAGATTTACATAGGAGTCGTAAGTTGTCATGAAAAGTTATAATAACAATTGATTTTTGTTCATTTACGAAACAAAATTGTTTATTTTTGTATTTAATGGTTGATTGCATATCATACAATTGATCAAATGACTCTTTTTGTGATTTCGGTAAAATTGGCTACTGTTGTTTTCGGCTGCGATAAATTGATCGCCTGATTAAATTAATACCGGAATGATTAAGTTCATCCTGAAGTCCTGACTTGTCTGCTAATAATTCTTTCCTAATAATTTTATTATTTTTTTCATGCGTATTGAACGTAGCTATTTTTTTAGATGCACTTTTAATTATATCTACAGCTAGAGATCTTTTTGTACTAGGATCATTATAATGTAACTGTGTTTTCATCTCTAATATATTTTTTAAATTACTATCTGTTAAGACACATACGTTACATTTTTTGTTTGTACAACGAAATCGATATCTTCCATCTTGTAATTTATTTGATTCCGTGTACTTGTATTGTTCGATATCTATACATATTTTTCCTCTCTTGGTCGTTAAAATATGTCCAATTCTTAAATCCATATTGAATAATATAAATATTGATTGTTAATTTTAAAATATTAATTTTTAGTTTTTATACTTTTTTAACAATTTTAACAACTTTTACGACGTACCACATCAATTTTATAACAAAACATAGATTTTTTTAAATCTATGCGATTGGTAATATTTTTAATTTCGTTTATACTGCTTACAGCAATGTGCGTATTTGTTTGTACTTCTTTTATAACATTTATGAACATAAAAATATTCGGATGTGCACTACTAAAGTTCCTCGAAAATTACGAATGAAATGATTTACGTACATTGGTACTTGGTAGTACTATCTGAATCAATTGAATTCATAGCCCACAGTGAGGGCGGAAAAGTTGAGCTTGAGGAAATATATGTATCAACTAAATAGTTAGAGAAAATTCAACTAATCTTTCTGATAAAGGCTGAATTTACATCAGATCTTCAAAAATCGTCTACTTCTTAACACTACCAGAGGGTAGTATTATAGTAACGAGGGAGGGAAAACAAGTGAAGCCATTGTCCAATATATGAATTTGGATCCATATAATCCGGCTTTAATCCGAAATGTTGTATGCGATTCCACCATGACTGAGTTAGATGAAATCTGTACCCCACGACTGTAATTATTAATTGCCCAAAAACTTTAGAAGCTACATGAATACTTTGTTCGAAATCGGTGTCACAAATAAGTCCCTAGATAATTAAATTAAGTGTCCAGATGATTTTAAATGTCCAATATATGCATTAAACGTTTCATTTTTTTTAACCAAATTTATTAATTTAATGTATATTTTATTTGTATATAAAATAATAAATTATTATATGAACTAAAAATAATAAATATTAAATATCGTCGGCCTAATTCGCAAAAGTTGTATCTCCATTTTTTGTCATTTTGGGATTATTTACTCATAAAATAAAGAAAAAAAAACTGCGTCTGTTGATACAATCAAATTTCCGAATGCATAATATTATCCTCCATGAAATTGATGATTAGAAATCGTCGTATCTCCAATTAATAATATGGCCGTAAAACGTTTTTTTCTTCTCCTGAACAATTTGTAAT